CTTTTCTAGAGAAAAAATAACAGCCAAAAGCTTTTTCTCAGTGGTGGTATAGTTCAATTGGGCGCCATTTAGAGTTAAACTAGCATAATAAATTACACGAAGCAATTTATCAACTCGTTGACCCAAGACGGCCCCAACAGCAAGGTTCGAAGCATCACACATAATCTCAAAAGGCAACGACCAATGAGGAGCAATAACAATAGGTGCCGTCACAAGCTTATTTTTCAATTTATCAAAAGCATCTGCACATGCATCATCAAACACAAAAGACACCTCATTAGCAAGAAAATGACACAAAGGCTGGCTTATTTTCGAAAAATCTTTAATAAATCGCCTATAGAAGCCAGCATGACCCAAAAAACTTCTAACTCCTTTCACATTCACAGGAGGGGGTAATTTTTCAATCATGTCCATTTTCGCTTTATCAACCTCAATGCCACGATTCGATACCACATGACCTAACACGACTCCACTAGTCACCATAAAATGACTCTTCTCCCAACTCAAGGTCAAATTAGACTCAATACACCTTTCAAGCACACGAGATAAATTATGGAGACAATCAGAAAATGAAGTACCGAAAATAGATAAGTCATCCATAAATACCTGGAGGCAGTCCTCGAGCATATCTGAGAAGATGGAGAACATGCACCTTTGGAAGGTCCCGGGTGCATTGCATAGGCCGAATGGCATCCGCCTGAAAGCAAAGGTGCCGAATGGGCACGTGAAGGTCGTCTTAGGCTAGTCCTCGGGCGCTATGGCTACTTGGTAGTAGCCGGAGAGTCCGTCTAAGAAGCAGTAGAACTGATGGCCCGAGAGACGGTCGAGAATTTGATCGTTGAAGGGTAATGGGAAGTGATCCTTCTTTGTCACGGCATTGAGGCACCGATAGTCTATGCACATTCTCCACCCGGTAGTGATTCGAGTGGGGACCATCTCCTTCTTCTCGTTCTCGATCACCGTGATACCCCCTTTCTTCGGAACTACATGTATGGGGCTGACCCACTCGCTGTCTGCCACTGGATAAATGAGTCATTCTGAGTAGAGCTTCAACACCTCCTTGTTTACTACCTCCATCATGTTTGGGTTGAGCCGCCGCTGGCTGTCCCGAAATGGCTTGGCACCCTCTTCTAATATGATCCGGTGCATGCATGTGGAAGGGCTGATGCCTTTGATGTCTCCAAGACTCCATCCAATGGCCTACTGGTTCCTCTTGAGCACATCAATCAACTCCTTCTCCTCGTCCCGATTAAGCTCGGCAAAAATGATGACCGGCTTTTGCTTCTCGTCATCAAGGAAAACGTACTTGAGATGGCGGGGTAATTCCTTAAGCTCTAATGCGGGTGGAGTAAGTGCGTGTGGCTCGTCAGTTGCGAAAAGCTCAATGATTGGCTCTTCTTCATCGCCGAGGTCGGGCATTGACCTCTCTTCGTAGTCACGTATAGTCTTCTCCTCCACAAACGGGTCGGTTATATCAACGAAGGCGCACTCCTCCACAAAGTTCACCGAGGAGGAGGATATGGCTTCTCGGATAGAGATAGATACTGACTCCCCTAGGACCTTCATGTTCAAGGTCCCATTCTTCACATCGATGAGGGTGTTGGTGGTGGCCATAAATGGTCTACCGAGAAGAATGGTATGATCCTTCCCGTTCTCCTACACGTCCCCCACATCTAGAACTATGAAGTCCACCGGGACAATAAGTTTCCCAACACGAACCAGGACATCTTCCACTACCCCCTTGAGGTATCTGATAGAACGGTCGGCGAGCTGGAGACACATCCGGGTTGGCCTCAAGTCTCCTAGGCCGAGCCGCTGAAAGATAGAGAACGGCAGGAGATTGATTCCTGCTCCAAGGTCCAGCATCCCTGAAGCCTTCTTTCCGTTTCCGAGAGCTATCTGAATCACGAAGCCCCCGGGATCTCGTTCTTTCTTCGAGAGATCATGCTGCATAGCACTTGCAGCCTCGCAGACCACTACCTTCTCCCCGTCTCCAAATTTCCTCTTCTTCGTCACTAAGTCCTTAAAGAACTTCACGTACGAGGGCATATTCTTGATCACGTCCAAGAGTGGCAGGTTGACGTTGACCTTTGAGAGCATGTTGTATAGGTCTCGAAATTGCTGCTCCTGCTTCTCGTCTCGGAGTCGGCTTGGGAAGGGTATGCTTGGTTTGAAAGGGTTTGGTGACTTGTGTAACATTGGGCTGTCTATATGCTTCCTTGGCTCAACTTCTGTATTCTTCTTCGGGCTCTCCTCTACACCTTTGGGCTGGTCGGTTGGTGTAAGGTCATCAGGCTCGGGCATTTTCACGTGGTTGTCTACCTCCTTCCCGCTTCTCAACACTGTTATGGCTTTGGCTTCTTTAGGCTGGCTAGGTAGCTTCCCCTTGTCTGAGTCGGCCTCCATGTTCCCCACTCTCGTAGCAAGCTGGCCCAACTGTGTCTCTAGACGTTTGATGGATGCATCGGTGTTCAAGCCCCTTTGCTCACTGTTGGCCATAAACTGGAGAATCTTGTCCAGTTTGTCGCTTGGTTTGATGAGCTAGAGTCGGCCCCTTGTGCTTGTACTCCTCACATCGGACCCCTCTGTTGCTGTTGTTGCTGCTGTTGAGGATAGTTTGGCCTCATCTGCTGTTGGGGAATGAAGGTGGGTCGGGGTTGTTGCTGCATGAAGTTCTGTCGAGGAGGCTGCTGGATGTTGTTGTTGTTAGACCACGAGAATTTAGGTGATTTCTCCACCCCGGGTTGTATGTGTTTGAATACGGGTCGTTGGCCGGTCGGTTCTGTTAGCCTTGAAGAGCATTGACATCTTCATACTGTTCCCCAGAATTCTGATCGAATGCCGAGGGCCACACCTCGGACCTGTGCCCTTGGACTCCACAGGCACCACATGCTTCAACGGTCATTGTCTGCATTGGTTGGCCTCCCCTTGCATTCAGTAGCCGTATCTGTTCCATGAGCTCGGCTATTTGATGGGCCATCATGTCTCGCCCAGAAGATACTTCGTGGACCTCGGCTCTCTTTCCTCGACTGTTCTTTTGAGACGAGTTAGAGCTCATCGCCTCAAAAATATCATTCATCTCCTCGGCCGTCTTTACCAAAATATCTCCGCCGGCCGCATTGTCCACCATCTACTAGAGATTCTGGTGGAGAGAGTCGTAGAAGCTGTTCATCAACAAGGCAGGTGGGAAGTTATGGTGTGGGCACTGCCTCTGGAGGTCTTTGAAGCGCTCTCATGCTTCATGAAGTGGCTCGTTCGGTTGCTGGGCAAAAGAGACGATTTGAGACCGGAACTCCTGCGTCTTCTGGTGAGAGTAGTATTTCCCAATAAACTTGGTGTACACTTGTTCCCAAGTGGTTAGTGAGTCGGGAGCAAGTGTCATAAACCAAGCCTTGGCCCGGTCTTTGAATGTCTCTGGGAAACATCTCATCTTCAGCTGGTCCTCGTTTAAGTTGTGGAGAGGGAAGGTCTGGAGGACGTTATAGAACTCTCGAATCAAATGGAGTGGATCCCCGTTGGGTAGACCATGGAAGGATGGCAGCTGTTTGTAGTGGATCGTTTTAAGCTCGTAATTCCGGGCTGTTGGCCCCAGCCGGATGCATGAAGTCACTGGCCCGATTATTTGTTGAGCCAAATCACGAAGGAGATGACGAGGTGGGTTATTCACTTCCTCGTCACCGTTGTGTGCCATGTCTCCTTGGCAATCTGAATCTCGGTTGGCTGAGTCTGAAGATTCAGGGGCAAGGTTAGCCAACAGTTCTTATAGATCCCTCTGGATTGATTCGTTGTTCGGGATGATTACAAGACCGCTCCTGGTACGCATAAACAAAAACAACAAAACGTCACGGGCACCAGATAGATAAGAGAGAGACTAGAAAAGCGAAACAAGAAAACACTAAGCCTAAACAAGAAAATGAAACGAAAAGAAACACAAAAACAAGGAATCACAAAAATAAGAGAAACACTGAAAACAAAATGAATAGGCGCACAAAATAAGTCCTAAACCATCCCCGGCAACGGCGCCATTTTGTTGTAGAAATTTTTGCTGGAGTAGAATCGAAAGATTCAACACCGGGTCGTTTCTCAAGGAAGGTTAGCCGGATTATTTCGTACGTATACTCAATCACAAGAAGAAGAAATTAATTTCCTAAACACTCTATTGCGATGATTTTCATTTTCAATTATCGACTACTAATTCTCAAATAACGGAAACGAACAATTATAAATGACTTAAAACGAGTTACTTATCAGTATGAGAATGCTAGGGAATCAGGGATGATTGCTCTCGAATCAAATGCAAATACCAAGCTAAGACTGTTCAGTTAAATAATTCGATTAACCTACACATCTAGAGATTAATCCTCAATAACTGTTCGTAACAAGAGGGAAAACATAGACGGTAAATCAAACCAATCAAACAACACATAGGCAATACAATCACGAACAAGCCTACTCTAATCGAGCCTGGATCGATCGACTTCTCCCCTTTCGGTTCTACAAGTCGATTAAATAGGTAAGGATGGTGATCAAGCATCTAACCCTAGGTTTAATTCAACTCGAATAGATTGAACGAAAATCATAAGCAAGGTAAACACACAAACACGAGTAATCATCCCCTATCCCTAGCTCAAAGATTTAGCCACTCATGTCAAGATGAACACAAAACATTGTATAAATCAAATACTTCAAACTCATAAGCAAAATGAGATGAAAGCTTACGATAAATAAAAGTCAAGTGTTGAATCTCAAACAAAATCTAAATCCACGATGAAATCCCTTCGGTGCCACTCCCAAAATTCTCAAACTAAGCAAAAGATAGGAAGAACAAGTTTTTTCGTCAAAAGAACGAGAGAGAAATCGAAAGTACAGAATGAATCCTTAAACCCTACGCCCGATCCTACATAATAGGAACAGTTTCAGCATTCAAAATATTAGTCGCCGCGGCGCGACAAGACTGAATGGCGCGGCGTGGAGAGATCATAGAGGCGCGGCAAGACTGAATGGCGCGGCGTGGAGGGATGGACTGTAGCGGTGTGGCAGCTGGAGCACTAGAGTTCTGTACGCCCGTGGAGATCATCGCGGCGTGGCTAACGGCGTGGAAGAGCGGGAGTGTCACGGCGTGGGAGATATCGCGGTGTGGAGGCTGGAAGGAGACCTTCTGAAAGCCCATTAAGGCCCCGCGTGTGAGGTCGCGCCGTGAAAGGAGTAAAGTGCTTCGGCGCGAGACTCGCCGCGGCGTGGCAACTGGGATAGTTCGACAGTACATGTGCTTTGTAAAACCGGGATAGCTCGACTTGGTAAACTTCGAACACTTAGTCAAAGACCCGAACCTGCACACCTCCAAAAACAAGAATAACACCCTAAAGCAGAGGAAACAAAATAAAGAAAATAAGAAATAACGACAACTACACAAAACCAACAACTCGAGGACCGAAAATCCTATCAAAATACCTAAACCGGGGGCTAAAAATCTATAAACCAATAAAGAAAAAGATAACAAAAATAGGAAAAACAGTACCGATGCCCCAATGTAACCGCAACACATGGTCCAGTCCCCCTATAGCGTAGTTTCCCAAATAAAACTCCTTTATCCTCCCGCGAGACCCAGTCAACGTCACTAGGTCGAATTCCCTTTTTGGTAGGTTGTGGCCCTCTTCTATCTACCTTTGTTAAATAGAACATGGTCGAATCGTTACCTCATAGTCTTCCAAGATCAGGTCGAATATTAATTTGGCTATTGTCCTCTGGGTCGAAGTGAATCGGGTTGTTTCATTAACCGGCTTGGTTGTTTGATTCTCTTGGGGGGTTTGAATCGGTACTATATCCTGTATCATCTAGTCCCCTCCCTCCCACTCTAGATCGAGCTAATGTGGCTCGGTCCAAGGATATGCTCTTTCAACCTGCTTCCTTAGTCTTTCGACTTTTCACTACTTTTTTGATTTTCGAGCTTCCCTTCGCCTATGGGTCTGGGCTTGGTCACTCTTGGGTTTTTCGGCCTTTCTTTTACAATATTCGACCACTTTATATCCCGCCTTAGTTTGAATTTCAAAAATCAAACCTTAGTATCAAACGTGGCCCGTTGCGTCCCTTAGAAGCCACCGCCTTGACTGTTGTACCTTCTCGTATACCGTGCCTATTCAGATGAATGTGTGTCATGATTCCCAACCGTTGATCTGTGCCTCATCGGACGGCCCGAATCGTTCGACCTTCTTGATTCTTCTACAGCCTTTTATAAATAACCTTCATTTGTGCTTTTTTCCCCTTTCCACCTCTGCGATTATTTTGTTCTATTGCTCATGTTTTCCTCCTGCTAATCTATGCTTCTAAAGTTCTCGTCACCGTCGTGCTCCGACTTTCAAGAGTATAAGCTTTTAGAATCTGCACACCATGTCGTCACTGAGTAAGTTTTTCTTCTTGTTTATGTCTGTTTCGTCGTACTTTCATTTTGATTTTGGTTCATTTCGTTTTTGTCCTTTCAATTCTCAATCTCTCTTAAAACCTTTTCACTCCTCAAAACCCCTTCTTCCAAACCCTAAATCATCCATTCTTTTTTCTTTGTTTCTTTTCCCTTTAGATTCACGTGCTACTTTGGCTTCTAAGGCTGCCTCTGTGGGTCGTGACGTGTCCTCGACTTCTCCTGTTCGAACTTCCATCTCAATCCTTTGTCCTATTTCTCTTGATAGTAATCCTTCCGACTCCTCTTGTCCTTATCTTGGCAGTTCGACCTCCGGGACTCCCCCAATGAGGCGTCGTCGCCACCAGATCAGTGGTTTGTCCGAGGAGGAGGAAGAAGAGGAAGAGGCCTTTCCTATTCGCACTGTTATGCCGCAGCCCTCTTTGCGCCGATCTCCCTCCCCCCACCGACCCTGTTGGGGACGTTTACCTTACGAGATAGAGAATAACCTACAACCTAGCGAGTTTTTCCATCTCGCTGTCAACGACCCCCGAGCGCGACTGCTTGGGATTCCTGCTAACTGGGATTACAGTTAGTGTTATATACTGAAATCTTAGCTTTGCATGTTATTACACATTTTCCCTTTATGAACGAGAATCATGTTAGATTAAACAAGTTCTACGTTCTGTTGTTCTGCACTTAGATGGAGTGGGTCATCATCGGGCGAACCGAAGATCACTCTATCAGTTACCTGCGAACAAGAATAGTTGTTCACAACCTAGATGGACATAAACACCCATTCGAACGGTTGTAGTGTCAACTGTACAGTTTGTCTTGACTGATTAGTTGCACTAGTACATTTATGTATTGAACAGGATCCCAGAGAGGAGAAGTTCATTTTATACTGGTCGTCGTATATGAACTAGGCCTCGGTTAATTACTGCGTTCTCTTAACCCGTAAGATATTAAACATGCAGATATATATAGTACATATTACTTTTGATTCACTCGGGTGAGGTTCAGATCACTGGATCATTATTCCTACTATTTTGGGTAATATAGTTATATATAGGATGTGCTGTTAGGATATTTACGGTCACCATGTGTGTTAGTTTGATGATGTCGTCGGAGTGAGTTTATGAAGGATTGTTATGCTAAACCTTGCAGGTGGATTAAGTTCCAGTATAATAAGAATGTGATGAACGAGCGCTAGATTCGATGAAATAATAATAAATTAATTAATTTTTAATTATCAGTAATCGAATTAATTAATGGATATTATAGTTTAATTGAGGGGAGATAAATCTAGTAATTAGTATTGGAGTCTCAAATGTAATTTGAGTTAAGAAAAGGGAGTGCAATAATATAATGTTAGTGGCCCATTAATATTATTTAATTAATTTGAGGAGTGAGCTTAGTCCTTAGTTAGTCTAATTAATTGAGGAGCCCTATTCCTAATCTCCTAAGGGTTCTTACTGTATCTCTATATATACATCATTAATCTCATGAGAAGAGATAGATTTTCACATTCACGTGAATAATGAGCCGCACCCCTCTCTCTCTCTCTCTCTCTCTCTCTCTCAGTTCTCATTCAAGCTTTATCTTCTTCTTGTTGCTCCACTGGTACAAGTTGAAGAATGGTGTATTGAGTAATACTGTAGAAGATCTGTAGGTAAACCGAGACGAAATATATTTTATCGTATAGAACTAACCAGAGGTCCGATTAAGGAACAGAGCATACCTAGACAACCGTCTCGATGTCAGCTTTCAGCCGCCGCCGAGATCGCCGCCGTCCGCCGCCGCACACGCTCGCACGCGCCGCCGGGAGCTCGCTGACTGCAAGATCTTTTTTCATCTTTTTGCACCCGTTTGATCCGATTTTCGATTCGATCTTGTTCGTGCAATCCCAAGATGTGATTTGCGGTCATCCGTTTGTGGCCAACCAGATCTACATAAATTTTAAGCCGTATGTTCTCTACGTCAAACCTTTAGATCCGCTGCGCATAGGTTTACGTTTGTTTTTGAATTTATGACTTATACATAACGAGATCCTCATAGATCCTAACAAGTGGTATCAGAGCACTTGGTTAATTCGTTTTGTACAAAGTTTGAATTTTTACGGCTTTATTTGACAAGATGTGTTCAAACGCAGCCATATATTAGATTATATTTGCATAACTCGGTTTTGCAAGATAAATAGTTAATCCCCTATTATGGCCGATTATGTGATTGATGAATGTTGTTGAATGTAATGTATGCTTTTAAATTTGTTTTTAAAGCCTCGGACATGTCGAGGAATTGATGGATGAATGTTTGTAATAATTATTCGTCCGGGGGTTGACCGGATATATTTAATTATTTGTTTAGAAAACATGTACATTCATTCGTTGGATCTAAGATCGAATTATGTAATTTTGTAAATTATATTTTCGTGATGTGATCGTGTGTTGATGACCGGGAGATCACAAGAGATCAACGAGCCTCGAAGAAATAAAAAATAAAAAAAAACCGGCGCGCGGCTTTTTCCGACCACCGACGGCGGTCGGCGGCTTGGCTGAAGGTGGAGAGGTTTTACTTGATGTCCAAGCAGTACAATATCAACCAGGATTCTACTGCTTAAAGGAGTTTCAGTTGAACAGGGAAAGAACTGCCACAGTTTCTTTGTTTAAGGAGACTCTATATTTAATGGCCATAATAGTGAATTTATTTATTTATTTAAATTCATTATGCTATTAATTATAATTTATGCATGTTAATTAATTATGTTCTTGCATGGGATTAATTTAGTATTGCAAGATTAATTATGCATGTTAATTAATTATGTAATGCATATCAGGACGAATTTCTAAATTAGACGGTTAGAGGAAATCTCAAGAGAGCGCAGGGGCCTCCCCACGGGGGACGTGTAATCGATTTGGACGACCTCAGAATCAAGAAATGGGATTCACTTAGAATGCGATTTATCTATAAACTCCCCACGGGGTCCTGGATTTATTGCATGGCCAAGTGGAGACCGACTATTAATTTCGTTAAATCCATTGTCTATTAATTCTAAAGGGAAACAACTTGCCAGTCCCAAACCATTTGATTGGAAAAGGAACTTAGACATTGTCATGTCGATCACCATGGCTAAGGGCACTCCCGTAAGGGAATATGTCCAGAAGCTGGTGGAGCAGTTCACTCGCATGGAGTCTGATGGTGCACGCATTGATGAGTGCATCAAGGCAGACATAATACTCTTTTTGCTGCATAAGGATATTAATCAGTTATGCTACAGTTACTACGATGTTCTTCGGGATATGCCGGTGGCTGAGCTGATTGGGGAACTTGAGGCGGCTGAGAAGATTATCCATGAGGTGCGAGAGATGATTCGTGCAGAACGAGAGATGGCCTCGTCCTCTAAGTCCGTAGGGATAAAGAGGAAAAGGAGCTCTGTTCAAGAGGCAGTTGAGTCGTCTAGAGCTGCTAGATCAGAACAGAAGGTCGACTGCCCTATCCTCAAGAAAGGTAACTCTCTCGTTAATGTCGTAGAAACATGTTTAGCGGTTGTATCTACCAGAACCTGATGTGTAGATACTGGAGCCACTGATCATGTCTGCAATTCTTTGCAGGGGTACCAGGAAACCAAGCGGCTTAGAGAGGAAGAAATCACCGTCTACATGGGCAATGCTACGAAAGTGGTGGCTGTTGCAGTGAGAGACGTTACTTTATCGTTTGATAGTAGTAGTTTGGTTTTGAGAAATTGCCTTTATGTTCATAGCTTTAGAAAGAATCTTGTTTTAGTTTCTAAACTCGTTATGGATGATTTTTCAGTTTCGTTTGATGACATGGTTATTATTCGTTTTGGAAATTGTTTCATATGTTGTGGTTCATTAGTTGGCAATTTATATGTGCTCAAACCAAACTCTCTCACAGTGCAACAAAATATATTGAATAATGTCATAACTACATCTAATAAGAGGAAGGAGTCTTCGCAGATGAATCATGCATATCTGTGGCAATTTAGACTTGGGCACATCAACCTTAGGAGGATTCCAAAGTTAGCGACCAATGGACATCTAGGTCCATTGGAAGAGCACTATCCAACTTGCGAATCCTGTGTGGAAGGTAAGATGGCCAAGACGCTGTTTTACGGCAAAGGGGTACAGAAGCCAAGAAGTACTAGGATTGATTCATTCTTATTTGTGTGGTCCTATGTCGATCCAGGCTAGAGGATGTTCCGAGTATTATGTGTCTTTCATAGATGATTACTCGAGATTTGGGTACGTTTACCTGTTGCACCGCAAGTCCGAATGTTTTGAGAAATTCAAGGAATATCGGGCAGTTGTAGAGAAGCTTCATGGTAAAAGTATCAAGTCACTTTGTTCTGATCGAGGTGGCGAATACCTCTTTGGAGAGTTCAGGACATACTCATCGGAAGCTGGGATTGAATCCCAACTGACTGCACCCGGCACGCCCAAGCAGGACGGGGTAACAGAGAGAAGAAATAGGACTCTTATGGAGATGGTTAGGTCTATGATAAGTTATTCTAGGTTACCAGATTTGCTTTGGGGAATGGCGTTGGAAACAACATCGTACATTCTGAACTTGGTTCCATCGAAGTCAGTTGATACTACTCCTTACGAATTGTGGAAAGGGACCAAGCTCGGGTTTTCACATATTCGAGTGTGGGGTAGTCCTGCACACATTTTAGTGCAGGAACCTGGCAAATTGGAAAAATGTTCGGAAGCATGAGTTTTCGTTGGCTATCTCAAGGAAATGAAAGGTGGATTATTTTATAGTCCTGGAGATCAGAAGGTGATCGTCTCGACGAATGTTAGATTCTTGGAAGAAGACTATATTATGAATCATAAGCCCGCGAGTAGAATAGTCTTAAAGGAGTTAAGGGGTGAAGTCGATAGTTTCCCATCGAGTGCGCAAGTAGATACATCACATAATACTGCAACACGGCACACTGAGAGGTGATCCAGTCGTACGGGTTTACTCAATGTCCGGATGAGCACTGTGTTTACAAGAAAATCAGTGGGAGCGTGGTGGTGTTTCTTGTGCTTTACGTAGATCACATACTGCTTATTAGAAATAATAAGAAGGAGTTGTCAGACGTAAAGGTGTGGTTGTCTAAGAAGTTTGATATGAAGGACTTAGGAGTTGCATGACACATTCTTGGTATTAGGCTCATTAGAGACCGTAAGAAGAGAATGTTGTGTTTATCCCAGTCTTCATACATAAATATTGTCTTGGCCAGATTAAGCATGTAGGATTCCAAGAAAGGTAAGTTACCTTTTAGACATGAAATATCTCTATCTAAGGAGATGTCTCCTAAGACGTCTGAGAAGATAGAGGAGATGAAGACAGTTTCTCAAGCTTCGACAGTAGGAAGTCTTATGTATGCGATGTTGTGCACTAGGCCAGATATTACCTACGCCGTTGGCATGGTAGCTAGATATCAAAGTAATCCGGGAAGGGAACATTGGTCTGCGGTGAAGCATATACTCAAGTACCTGAGAAGTACTAAAGAGTACATGTTAGTTTATCGTGCAGGCAGCTTGTTACCTTTGGGTTACAGTAATTCCGATTTCCAGTCAGATAGGGATGAAAGTAAGACAACCTCAGGTTATGTGTTTACCTTGGGAAGTGGATCCATTTAATTGAGAAGTGCTAAGCAGAAATGCGTGGCAGACTCCACCATGAAAGCCGAGTACATAGCAGCCTCAGAGGCAGCGAAAGAGGCAGTTTGGCTCAGGAACTTCTTAGTGGACTTAGAGGTTATACCGAGTTTGCCATGTGGTATCACCGTATACTGTGATAATAGTGGAGTAAAAGCAAAGTCAAAAGAACCTCGAGCCCACTGGGCAAGCAAACACATAGAGCGCAAGTACCATCTGATTCGAGATATCGTTGTAGATGAGACGTTCACGTTGCCAAGATTGCATCAGAGGACAACCTAGCTGATCCTTTCACGAAGAATTCGTCGGGGAAAGTCTTTGTCAAACACGTGGAAGGAATGAGAGTCATGAGCATGGCAATAGGATCGACATAGCTCTTTTAGAATAACGGATTGATAGGACTATACTGTAAAAGCGAAAGTTTTAAGTATAAGTGGGAGATTGTTAGTGTTATATACTAAAAATTTTGCTTTGCATGTTAATACACATTTTCCCTTTATGAATGAGAATCATGTTAGATTAAACAAGTTCTACGTTCTGTTGTTCTGCACTTAGATGGAGTGGGTCATCATCGGGCGAACCTTAGATCACTTTATCAGTTACTTGCAAACAAGAATAGTTGTTCACAATCTAGATGGACATGAACACCCCATCCGAACGGTTGTAGTGTCAACTGTACAGTTTGTCTTAACTGATTAGTTGCACTAGTACATTTATGTATTGAACAGGATCCCAGAGAAGAGAAGTTCATATTATACTGATCGTCGTAAATGAACTAAGCCTCGGTTAATTACTGCGTTCTCCTAACCCGTAAGATATTAAACAGACAGATATATACAGTACATACTACTTTGATTCACTCGGGTGAGGTTCAGTTCACTGGATCAATATTCCTACTGTTTTGGGGAAAATTGTTATATATAGGATATGTTGTTAGGATATTTACGGTCACCATGTGCGTTGGTTTGATGATGTCCTCGAAGTGAGTTCATGAAGGATTGTTATGCTAAACCTGCTGGTGGATTATGTTCCGGCATCATAAGAATTTGATGAACGAGCGCTAGATTCGGTGAAATAATAATAAATTAATTAAATCTTGTTTGTCAGTAATCGAATTAATTAGTGGACATGATATCTTAAACGTGGGGAGATAAATCGAGTAATTAATATTGGAGTCTCAAATGTAATTTGGGCTAGGAAAAGAGAGTGCAATAATATAATGTTGGTGGCCCATTAATATTATTTAATTAATTAGAAGAGTGTTCTTGGCCCACAGTTAGTCTAATTACTTATGGAGCCCTATTCCTAATCTCCTTAGGGTCCCTACTGTAGCTCTATATATACATCATTAAGCTCATGAGAAGAGATAGATTTTCACATTCAAATGAATAACGAGCCGCGCCTCTCTCTCTCTCTCTCAGTTCTCATTGGAGCTTTATGTTCTTCTTGTTGCTCCACTGGTACAAGTTGAAGAAGGGTGTATTGTGTAATACGGTAGAAGATCTGTAGGTAAACCGAGACGAAATATATTTATCATACAGAACTAGCCGGAGGTCCGATTAAGGAACGGAGCATACCAAGATGACCGTCTGGATGTTAGCTTTTAGTCGCCGCCGAGATCGCCGCTGTCTGCCACCGCACGCGCCGCCGGGAGCTCGCTGACTGCAAGATCTGTTTTCATCTTTTCGCACCCGTTTGATCCGGTTTTCGATCCGATCTTGTTCGTGCAATCCGATGACGTGATTTGTTGTCATCCGTTCCTGACCAACCAGATCTACATAAATTTTAAGCCGTAAGTTCTCTACGTCAAATCTTTAGATCTACTGCGCATATTTTATGTTTGCTTTTGAATTCGTGACTTGTACATAACGAGATCCTCATAGATCTTAACAGTTACACTGCCCCTGACGCTTTTGTTATCCATGAACTTCCACCTGCCGGTCATTATACCTTCATCGAGGACCAGGTCAAAGTAGGTCTTCGATTTCCTTTAAGTAAAGGTCCTACGCAAGCTTTGCTCTCTTTACGAAATTCTTCGCAATCAACCTCCTCCCAACTCCATCTGTACACTTATATCCTTCGCCATTCTTTCTCAGTCTTGGCTGGGTGAGGTCGATCCCAACTTTTTCTATTACTGTTTCGTGGCTAAACACCAGGGCAAGGGTATTTATCTCGCTGCTCGTCATGGTGACAACTTCATTACTGACAGACCTCGCAATGTTTCAAACGGGAAGTCGAGAATCTTCTTCCTTCGACCTCCTTCTCCTCTACCTTTCTCCCCCAACCCTTGGCTGATTAGGCCTCCCTTTATCTGTGACCCGCCAGCCCGCAATTCTATTTACGACCTTATGATCGCCGCATGAGGTCAATCTAAAGTCATCTCTTCTGCTCAAAGATGAGCGACTTCTCTACCACTGCAGTCTTTGGAGCAATGTGGACGATCAATTATCTGACGAAGAGCTCGGTAGGCTCGATTTAGACAGTCATTATTTGTTTTCATTTCATCCACATATTGACTTCTTGCTTTTTCTTTTTTCCAGAGAAATGTATCGAGATGGCCAGGGTCCCACCCCTGCTGCTAGTGGTGAGGGAGGTTAAGAGACCACCCAGAAGCAGAAAGGCCCCCAGACCTCACGGGCCCGTTGACCTCCCAATCCTTCCACTGGCAAATGAAAGGAACAATAGGTCATCAACATCGACGAAGGTCGGGCCGAAGCTAGCCTTGAGTCTGGAACGTAGCAGCCCCTTGAGTTGACCAACCAGAAAGACACATTGGTCGACTACGAGCACCAGAGCATGAAGATTCGGATCGATGAGGATAGCATCGTCGTTCTCCCCCCCTCCCCCCGTCCCCTCCGCTCACTCATTTCTGCGGCCAAGGCTACAACCATCTCGTCGTATCTAGTCAACATTCTACCCCCGGGCCGAAATTAGTCATTGGGGGTAGTGATAGGAAGAGAAGGGCTGAGGATGTAACCCGGGGTCTCGGGAAGGTATTATTCGAGTATTCTTCCTTCTTTTTTATTTTGCGCCCCTAGCTAGCATCTTATAGTTTTGTTGTTCATTTATCTTCTAGTACTTGGTTGGTCTTGTGCTCATGCTGAATGAGGACTTGGCCGACTAGAATGAGCTCCACTAGGAGATAGCTCGGCAAAAGGAAAACTCTTCCTTTTGAATCAACACTCCAATCAGTTGACCCTTAACAACAACGACCTCTATAAGAGGGTGGCCACACTGAACCAGGAGGTTATGGTCCTCATTGCCAAGAATAAGGAGTTGTGGCAGAAGCTGGTTGATCAGTTAGCTCGGTATCTGGAGTCCCTAAAGGCCGCTGCTCACACCGTTTGTGCGATTATTCAGCAGACTAACATCATGCAGCGGCTGCTCGAGGCTTATCGTCTGCAAGTGATTGATGACTTCCTAGAGTCTCCTACATATCTGGACAAGTTGACTGATGGGTTCATCGAGTACTTCAATTTGGCTTTTGAGGGGGCTCCGGAGCAAGCTCGAGCTGTCGGGGTGGAGCTTGACTGTCAGGATGTCCTTTGGAGGATGTCTGATGCTCCGTCAAGCTTCAAGGGCAATGTCCACATCTGGTGGAGCGACACTCTAGCTAAGATTTTACTGAGAGCTAATGTGGCTCAATTCTTTGCTTTGTCAGCCTCTCTTCTCGCTCGCGGCCAATCGACCAGTGCACCTACTTCGACTCATGCTGCTCGCAGATCCGTCTTTTGAGCCCGATGCTGACGCTGTTGCTGCCGCTATAATAATTGTGCTTTGCAATCGTAGCTTTGCAGTTGTAATTTTTGAACGTGGAATCATATCTTTAAACAATATGTTCTTGTCTACAAGTATCAGTTTACTCTTTATGATATTTTTTATGCTCGTTATGTCCTTGTGATGTGCGTATTGTGCAAGCTTGTTTGACTACTTAAGTTTTCAATTTTATGTCGCGGTCACACTTGCCCAACCTAACTTTTGGGTAGTTCGAACAAGTGACCCCCCAACTCGAAAGCCTTAATCATAGCAGGTTTTCGACATTTTCCCAACCGAACACTAAGGTCATTCAAACAAGTGACCTCCCAGCTCGAAAGACTTAATCATACTGGGTTCTCGACATTTGCCCAACCCAACATTCGGATCGTTCAAATAAGCGACCACCAAACTCGAAAGCCTTAATCATGGTGGGACACTTGCCCAACCCAACACTTGGGTCGTTCAAATAAGCAACCACCCAGCTCGAATGCCTTAATCATAACAGGTTCTTGACACTTACCTAACCCAACACTAGGGTCGTTCAAACAAGCGCCCACTTAGCTCGAAAGCCTTAATCATGGTGGGTTTTTGACACTTTCCCAACCCAACACTAGGGTCGTTCAAACAAGAAACCACCTAGCTCGAAAGCCTTAATCATGATGAGTTTTCGAGACTTGCCCAACCCAACAATAGGGTCGTTCAAACAAGCGACCACCTAGCTCGAAAGCCTTGATCATGGTGGGTTTTCGACACTTGCCCAACCCAACACTAGCGTCCTTCAAACAAGCGTCCACCCAGCTCGAAAGCCTTGATCATGGTGGGTTTTCGACACATGCCCAACCCAACACTAGGGTCTTTCAAATAAGTGACCACCCAACTAAGCCTTAATCATGGTGGGTTTTTGACACTTGATAAACCCAACACTATGGTCGTTCAAACAAGCGACCACCTAGCTCGAAAACCTTAATCATGTTGGCACTTGCCTAACCCAACACTAGGGTCGTTCAAACAAGCGACCACCCAACTCGAAAGCCTTGATCATGGTAGGTTTATGACGCTTACCCAACCCAACACTAGGGTCGTTCAAACAAGCAACCACCTAGCTCGAAAGCCTTAATCATCCTGGGTTTTTGACATTTTCCCAACCCAACACTAGGGTCGTTCAAACAAACGATCACCCAACTCGAAAGCCTTGATGATTGTGGGTTGTCGATACATGATTTCTGCAGAGACCTCGTGCTTCCCAGTGTACGTGCCCAAGTGAGGCCGTGAGCTCAAAGTGCCCCATGCATGCCTTGCAGCGAGTTCATGGCCACAGCATGTTGCCAGTGACCCCAGACGCTACTAGGCGAGCTCTCGCGTGCCAGCAGCCGTCCTCGTGTGCGGCTCCCAATAACAACGTGCGCCAGTAGACCCCAGTCGCAATGCGAGCGACAGCGACCCGAGTGTGCCACCAGCGGCCTGACCAAGCCCAACAGTGACCGAAAAGCACCCGACCGAGCCACGAGCAAGCCAGACTGAACAACGTCAAGCCATTTGCCTATTTTGAACCCTCGATGAACTTAAGTTGAGCCTAAGATAGTTGTTGCTAAGTTTTATTTTTATTCATTTAGATAGAGCCTCAAGCAAGCTAAAAATTCAATTTCTCCGAGGCTTTAATCGAGCTTTGTGTTGATATCCGGGTTTGGTCGGACCGGGATTTATGATTCGCCCAGGGACGACCGGAGAGAGGACGACGTTGCGTCTCGAACTGAGCAGCGAGTCGACACGAAGTGCTGATCTGGGAGATAAGAAAAGATAACCCACGGAGAGAGTCAATCTGTCCCGTTAGGTCGGCATCTTACCAGCTGAGTGACGAGGCCGATCTACCCAAACGCCGATCAGGAAAACATGTTCCCAAGAGCGAGGAGATGACTAAACGTCGAGAAGCCGACCCGCAAATTCCCCAGGGTTGGCTCCCCCAAAGAGCGCAAGTTTGGAAAACATTAAAATAATGCCATTTCTCAACCAATGATAGCCGATGTGATGTATCAGTCTAGCCTGCAAACCTATGACATCTAGCTCGGCCTAAAGGCCTGTCCGCATTTAATGCAACCCATGTCTGCATTTAATGCCTGACAGGTAATCATTGCAAAGAACCTTAAATCACGCCCATCTGTCAGAGCAATGCCGGCCTGTCCATCAGAGTTAACGTACGACGAGACAGGATGAACAATAGATGAACAGTGTCGAATTTAAGACCCTTATAAATAGAAGACCACCTCATTTATTTTTGGGTTGTTGAATCCTCCAACTACTGCTTTCTCTCTACTTTCCCTCTCTAGAAAACTGTAATATATTCCCGCAGAAATACCAAGTGTAACAAAAGTGCCGACCTCGTTCACAGAGGCCGACCTCGTATTTACTTAATAAATTCTATTTTCGCAGTACATCTTTCTCTTTTTACCTTTTTCACTCTCATTTTACTTTGTATTAACCGTTGATCGGATCCGTCCATCAAGAGTTTGGCGCTAGAAGAAGGGCACTATAAGTTATTTGGTGTCAACATTTCGATCTTATGCAACACCACTTACAATTTCTTCCTTTCTCGCCTCTTTTTCTTCGAAAGTCAAGGAAAATGACTTCTTCCGGACACAGCGAGTTAACTCACCAATCCGAAAGCCAACATCGTCGCCGTGACGACGAAGAGACCTCACGCCGACGTCAGCAGGAGCCAAAAGCCCCAGTCCCGCCAGTTCTGACCTTTCGCCGTGGCAATTCAGCACCCCCGACGCCCTCAATGTGCTGGAGGGCGCCATTGACAAGGCGTTGGCAAGCCACACGGTGGAAAAGAACACCATGGCCAGGAAGAAAAATCCCGGCAACACGTTGCTTCAAACCCCTGACAAGGAAACTCTGGGGGACAGGAGGAGGCTTGCTCGGTAAAAAACAATGGCGGAATCCCACAACCGAGAGGCTCAAAAACACCGGGAGAAAACAACAGGCCCGACACACACCGAACAGACGGGCGAGAGTCGCCCAGAACCTAGCCTGCAAATCATTCACCGACCTGTCAACCAACGCTTGGGCGAGAAAAGCCAAACGAATCGTGACCTCAGAGAGGTCATCAAATTTGGAAAGCCATCCGGCGTGACACCGATGAAGTCGCGGCACATAGGCGAAGGATAGCCGAGCTAGAAGCTCGGCCCACCTCACAGGGGGGACCATCAACCTTCACCCCACCACGGTCAAATGCCCGGGTTGTAGACCTTGCTTCACCTCTCTCTTCGGACATACTGCAGGAAGCCTTACCTGCGAAAATCAAAGTTCCGCAGCTCAGACTTTACTACGGGAGCTCGGACCCCAACTCCCACGTCGGCCTCTACACTTCGTGGATGGACCTGCACGGCGCCACAGATGCCCTTCGTTGCAGGATGTTCTCACTGACGTTGTGTCCGAAGGTGCAAAGGTGGTACCACTCCTTGTACACCCACTCAATCTCTTCGTGGAAGCAACTCAGGTCAACATTCCGCACGCACTTTATTTGTTTGCAGATCAACCTCGCTCCAAAAGAGTCGATCACGAATATTGTACAGGGGGGTAAGAGGAGAGCCTGAAGGAGTACCTCTCTCGGTTCAACGACCGAGTTGAAAACATGGAGCAGTGTCACCCGGAGACCTTGCTGGTGTCCGTGCAAGACGGGCTGAAGCCAAAAACCCTGTTCAAGTCGTTCCTATGCCAGAACAAGCCGAGCACTTACCAGGAGTTCTAGCTCGGGCACAGGACTACATCATGGGGGATGAATCCATGTCCATCCTGATGTTCGAGGCGGTGCCGTCCAAAGGCAAGGCTGAAGAAGAGAAGTCGGGGAAGCCGAGCAAGTCTATGGTGGAAGTCCGAGCCTTGATAAAACACAGAGCCAAGGAGCTCAAAGACAACTATTGGGGTGTCTTTTCGGTGGGGGCAACCGTGGTCTATGAGGAGAATAAGGCTAAGGGATTACTCCCGGAGCCGAAATCGATGCAGGCCGACCAAAGCCGCGTCGACAAATCTCAGTATTGTGCCTACCACAAAGGGCACGAGCACAACACCGACCAATGTCAGAACCTGATCACGGCGCTGCTAAAGCTGATAGACGACCCAGCTGAAAAAGTTCACCCAATCATGGCGATAAAGGTCAATCCCATCATGGTCGACACCGGCGCCTACGCGAGCATTCTCTACTATGACACCTTTAAGAAGATGGGTGTCAATATGGTATAGGTGCAACCCTGCTGAGAAAGCATCCAGGGCTTTGACGGACAGACGACGCTCCACGTTGGACAAATTGTGCTGCCGGTTAAGTTTGGAGGAGATGTTTGTAGTATTTTTGGGCATGTGGTAACCGAGTTACCCGACTCGGGTCGTTCTCAAAGGAAGGCTCTTCGGAGCTTCGTTCAAGATCTAGTCGTCAAAGTTACACAACCGAAAATAAGGTCCTAGACATTCTACTCGCTTGATTGGATTGGTTTTGCGTGAAATGAAACTAATAACATAAAAGCAAATGGTAACAATGCAAGAATCAAAAGAAATATCGAACATTGGTTGCACAGAATCTCCACACTTGACGAAAATAAAAATAACAAAAAGAAAACATACGAGCCAAGTGATCCTAAGTAATCGAACACGAACTTTCTATCCTAGATCATCCCGCTTTGAGCAAAGTCGAGACTTCTATACTAGATAAGCGCGTATCGAATCCTAACACACTTGAACAAGTAATGAAAATAATGCAAGGCCTAAAATCGAACACAAACACATCATTCCAACCAAATTACAACTCGAAATAACAAACCCTAAGCTAGGTGTTTATTCTCCTATAGCAAGAATGGATGAAAGTAATGCGTAGAGATCGAATATTAGATAAAAATAAAGTTGCCGGAAAAGTTACCGGAAAAGTCGCCAGAAAACTCGCCGGAAAATGTCAAGGTGGACCTCCAACCAAAGAACCAAAAATATAG